ATATATACTAAAAGGTTGGAAAGGGAGATTCATTCTGAGGTTGTTTTCTGGGGTCTGCTTTTTTTTTTTAATTGATTTGGGGAAAAAAAACAACAGTTGAACCTTTAAGATAAGGACAAGTGTCATTTTTTGGGATAGTAAATACAGAAGTTTAGATAATTTAATGGAAAACAAAAAAATGGGATATGATGTGAAGGAGAAAAACTAAACTGAGTATCACACAAGTCATAGGTTGATGTGGTAGGTAGAATTCTGTAAGAAATACCTGAAAAGGGGGGAAGAGAAGCGTTTTTTAATTCAGTGTTTCAGCCTTTGAAAGGATGGCACGACAGTTGTCAGAAAATAAGGATAGTTAAAGGTGAGACGCTAAACAGAGGATGGTGAATCTACATCTTCGCTCTTGACTGTGGTTTTATGAACACTACAATAACCACAAGCCAAGCAAAAAGAGGCAGGCTTTCAGTGACAAAGGACAGACCGAGGAGAGAAAAGGACAAAGACACTAGGATTGCACAGAAAGTAGAGGTATACAAGGGGAATGTCTCTTGAAGTGGACATCCTTCCAATGGTGAAGGGATGAAACAGGGAATGGAAAAGCAAATGACAAGAGAATGATGTATTGAAAACCAGTGAATAATCAAAACATGCATTAAGTAGTATTTAAGAGCATTCAAAGCAACATGAAGAAGATGAAAGAAGTACAAGGAGAAAAAAAAAATTTAAAAAAGCAAAAACCAATTTGAGAGGAATCATAGAACTGTTGGTCATAGGGGAGCTGTGAATGTCGCTAGTCCCACCTCCCACAGGAAGAAGGCCAGCACCAAGATCAGATCAGCCATGGCTTTGTCTGGCCAAGTCCTGAACATTTTTTTTTAAGGACAACCATCTCTGAGGCTGCTTTCTGAACAGCCCGTTCCAATGCTGCACTACAATTTAATCCTCTCAGACTGTGATTTGGATGTACAGAGGCAGGACAGAAACAATCTGAATGGATCAATATTAGCAGTATTCAGTACAGTTCTATACAGCTGTCTCTAGCATTTAAAGGTAAAATCAGGTCTCCTACTTGTGACTTGGCAAAATTCGAAAAGCAACACATTCAAATCAGTTATTGTCAGGTAAATTAAATTCTGTGGGAACAACCCTATATGGTCTTTGCTTTCATAGAATCATAGAACAGTTTGGGTTGGAAGGGACCTTAAAGATCATCTAGTTCCAACCCCCCTGCCGTGGGCAGGGACACCTTCCACTAGACCAGGTTGCTCAAAGCCCCGTCCAACCTGGCCTTGAACGCTTCCAGGGATGGGGCATCCACAACTTCTCTAGGCAACCTGTGCCAGTGTCTCACCACCCTCATAGTGAAGAATTTCTTCCTCATACCTAGTCTAAATCTCCCCTCTTTCAGTTGAAAGCCATTACCCCTTGTCCTATCAGTACAGGCCCTTGTAAAAAGTCGCTCTCCAGCTTTCTGGTAGCCTCCCTTCAGGTACTGGAACGCTGCTGTAAGGTCTCCCCAGAGCTTTCTCTTCTCCAGGCTGAATAACCCCAAGTCTCTCAGCCTGTCCTCATAGGAGAGGTGCTCCAGCCCTCTGATCGTCTTCGTGGCCCTCTTCTGGACTCGCTCCAACAGATCCACGTCCTTATGTTGGGGGCCCAGAGCTGAATGCAGTACTCCAGGTGGGGTCTCACCAGAGCAGAGGGGCAGAACCACCTCCCTGAAGCTGCTGGCCACCCTTCTTTTGATGCAGCCCAGGATACAGTTGGCTTTCTGGGCTGCAAGCGCACATTGCTGGGTCATGTTGAGCTTCTCACCAACCAACACCACCAAGTCCTTCTCCTTTGGGCTGCTCTCAATCCATTCTCTGTCCAGCCTGTATTTGTGCTTGGGATTGTCCATGTGCAGGGCCTTGCACCTGGCTTTGCTGAACTTCATGAGGTTCGCACTGACCCACCTCTCAAGCCTGTCAAGGTCCATCTAGGTGGCATCCCTTCCCTCCAGCGTGTTGACCTCACCATACAGCTTGGTGTCATCGGCAAACCTGCTGAGGGTGCACTCAATCCCACTGTCCATGTCGCCGACAAAGATGTTCAACAGCGCTGGTCCCACCACTGACGCTCAAGGAACGCCACTCATCACTGGTTCCACTTGGACATCGAGCCGTTGACCACAACTCTTTGAGTGTGACCATCCAGCCAATTCCTTATCCAAGTGGTCCATCCGTCAAATCCACGTCTCTCCAATTTAGAGACAAGGATGTCGTGTGGGACAGCGTCAAATGCTTTGCACAAGTCCAGGTAGATGACATCAGTTACTCTTCCCTTACGCACCAACGCTGTAACCCCGTCGTAGAAGGCCACCAGATTTGTCAGGCACGATTTGCCCTTAGTGAAGCCATGTTGGCCGTCACCAATCACCTCCCTATTTTCCATGTGTCTCAGCACAGTTTCCAGGAGGATCTGCTCCGTGATTTTACCGGGCACAGAGGTGAAAAGAACTTGAAAATAACGAAAAAGTTACTTCTGCTAATGAGTGGTATGTGACCCTAACAGGAGCATGAAGAAGACAGTCATCAAAGGCAATGCAAGGAGATGAAAAGAAAACAAATAGGATTACTTTCATTTAGAGAAAAACGAGCAAAGTATATGACTGGCTATGTAAAATGAAGGACGTAGAAAATATAAGGCACTTAACATTTATCTTGTCTTGCAATACAAAAATAAGGGAACAACAACTGAAATTAAGGCAACAAATGTAAAAATGGTAACCTTTTTAAAATACAAAACATAATTGACCTGTGGGAATCACAGTCTTGAGCTAAAACTCCAAGCTTAATAAGATACTTTAAAAATGACTACAGATATCTAGTTATGCTACTGAGAATAACAATAACACATAAAAACAGTAAAAACCCTCGTTTGCCAGGCAAAACAATTAATCTGCCTATATTTAAAAAGTAAATGTCTTCATATGGATAGATTGTTCCATTTGCCCATTATAGCCACTTCACATCTTTTTCTGAAGCATCTGGTCCTCAGTATTCTTAGATTTACAGTATCTCATTAGATTGAGTATTGATCCAAAAATCCCTTTGCTTCTAAAAACGCCCCCAAGTATACAGAAACACTTAATAGTCTCACCTTTAGAGTTGGCAGTTAAGATTTCAGGCCTAGAGTAACACTTTATTTTCCCCTCCCCTTAATCCATCCCCGAACACACACACACAGACTAATCCCAGCCCCTTTGTATTCTGGGACAGCAGGCACTGATACCTAGAATTTATTGCGCATACTGTTTAATGTAAAGGGAAACGGAAAAATCTATTAAATTTGATCGAAGTCATTCCATAGTCTTTTATATATTTCTTTGTTCTATATTTGATTTAGTTAAGGTTGCTCAGGAATATTTCTTAGCCATTTAATAATACGCATTTTAGGAGTAATAAGCTCCAAGAAATTAACCAGCTGTTTTCACATCGAGTCCATTTTGTGGACTGCTGACCAAAGTGTAACATAAAATCGAGGCAAGTGTAAGTCTTGTTTGGAAAAGATGTTTTCATATGGGTCATCAGAAAGTTTTGTAAGTTCCCCCCTTCTGTCCCCCTCCCCAAGTCTGAGCCAACGGACGATAATTTTTGTAGGAGCAATAAAATACCACTTCTCATCTCCTTAGAACATACAAGCAGGCTGCTTCGTGACAGCCCTGCACGTTTGAGGGGTAGGGTGCTTAATGCCTACACTGTGAACTTAGTAGGAAGCGCTCAAGCTCTCATTTAAGAGACCTGTAGGCTGGCCGTCTGCAGCCTGGAATGAAAATGCTGCGCTCTCTGGTAATGATGATACTAATAAGGTTATACAGTTTTTACACAAATAAAAATAAAATAGTGACTTCTTAGCTGTCCCTGGGAAAGAGATTACATAGTATATATATATATGGGATTGTTCTGTAATTAATCCCGGGTTTCAGCCAAACATGCTTACAAAGTTGTAAAAAAGAAAAAAAAAAAACAAAGTTTGCTAAGCCTATACCCATTGAGTTCCATGGTCACAGGATAAGGACTGTATCAATACTGGGGTCTGTCCAAGAAAATGCAGAGTGAAAGCACCCCAGGAGCATACTTCTGCTCCTCTCCTGTTTACAGCGCTGGTTAAGATAAACTCACTAAGCAACAAAACAAAGTGGCTTATTTTGCTAGAGAAGTAAACTTTCTTCACCATTAGTCATCTCATCTCTTGTAGGCTAATGGTAGGTAAAGTTACACAAATACGATGCCTAGAACTTCCAGTACATCTTGTTCTCATGGGCATATAGTAGAGACTGAAAAAGGTTAAAGTATGTTCTCTTGGTGACCGAATGACTTTGGGAATATAGAAATTGATAATGACTCCATCTTAAAACTCAGTTTAAATTGTGTATAGGTCAATACAAACAAGAGTAGTCAATGGTTTCAGATGGAAAATCTCATCGGTTCCATTTCTAATGACGTAGTATATATACTGTACAAATTGTTCTGCCACTGTTACTGGCAAATAAAACGGGGGACAAAGAGAGAAACCAACAGCTAAAGTAACCTTGGTAAGGATTGCTTCCTTCACGTTGGCATGGAGAAGCTGACACTGCCACTGGCAATGCTGAGGATGCAGGGCTACCAGTCACATCAGGCTGGCACTTTTGAGAGGTTTAAAAAAAAAAAAAAAAAAAGAAGTAATTTACTAGTGCTTATTAAAACATACCCCAGTCTGAGGTCCCAATTTTCAGAATGAATGAAACATCTACTGGCATCAATTAATGATCCATATTTGTAATCATTTTATCTCTGATGTGTTGACTAGGACTAGCATTCATGTGTTTATTTTCTTGTAAAGAAATAGGTCTTGAATGAATGATCTGCTAAAGATTCTTATTCTAATAATTTTTACAAGAAAGTGCTTTTCCAGATGAATGTGCTAAAACATTGTTACATGCTTTTTCTTAATTAGCTACCTTTTTTTTTCCTTATCATAATATGAAGACTTCATGAAATTTCATGGAAGATTATCTTCATTTCTGAATACTGAAGAGAGGTTTTCTTTATATTCTGGTGTGTGGGGTATTTATACTTTGTTTATCACCAGATGATACTGCATATAAACCCCACATCTCTACAAATTTAAAAAGTGGGCTGTTTACAGTGCTGTGTGACTTTTTTTTTTTTTTAAAGTATTTAGACTTCACTCCCCTGAAAGAAGTTTTGAGAAGTGACCCATTATCTACTATAAAAAGTTATCCATGTAGTACTTCAGTTTCCTTGTTCATCCATTATTTCATTTAAGGATGGATTCTTTCTAATGAAGCAAAAGTATGGGTATTCTGATAACAAAACTCAGAATGGACTCAATGGCACGTCCATAAATACATGCAAGTCTGGACCTGTTCAAAAGAAACCAGTATGTCTCTGTACGGTAACAACAGGCTGGTGGAGGGCTTATGGTCGAGACAGTACATTCTCCCTCTTACATGGAATTCCTAATTCTTGTCTTGCAACTACCTAATATTTGGTTTTACTTCCTTTTCGTCTGCTTCATCCTCACTGTCATCAACTTGCTGAATGACCAAGTCGGTTGACCCGTCCTCCACGATCTCCACATCAGATCTGTTGTCTTCCCCATAGTGCCACCTGGAATCCTTATCCCCATCTTGTGGAAATTCAAGGGGCGCCTCAGCCTCCAAGTCAATGCGAATGCTGTCTATGCCAGCTTCAGCCAAACACTCATTACAGAGTCTGTAACGTCTTGTCCCCTCTTGGACCACTTGTCCTGTTAGCTCAGTCACGTGGCGTTTACACTTTCTGCAGATAGGCTTACAAGCCTGATGAATCTGGGAAAATCGAAATGAATTAATTTGATATGGTATCCACAAATAAGTGTTTTTTAAAATGACAAAAAGTAGGGCTGGAGTAGCATCAAATGGTAGCGTTTACTCGTTTTGAGAGACAGTCATCAAACGTTAAAAATTACACCGTCACGGGCGCTGGAATTGCCCACTTAAGCTCTATTACAGGACTTGCACAGAGCAGTGCCTTTGCGAGCCATCAATTAACAAAGAAATTCATCCCCTTTCATACAAATTATGCTTCGAATCAACTTCAACAAAACCAGATTAAATTTCTATTACCTCTTCTTTTACGGGAGTCAATGTATCAACCAGGTAAACACAGTACGAGTGTAATTATGCTGAGACAGATTTACACATTAAACAAATCATGCAGTTACTAAAAATACATACTGTTCGAAAATGGCTACTTAGGTGATCTAGCCTGCTAAATCTTTTCCCACATGCCTCACAAGGGTAAGGGCGCTCTCCCGTATGACAGCGAAGGTGACGCTTTAGGTCTGCTTTTCTTTTCACCACATGAGTGCAGAATGGGCACTTGAACCTCATCCTGGGCAGATCATCTGTTAGAAAAGAACGCGATTAAAAAAAAATAAAGTCATAACATGTCTAGTCATTTAATGCTCTAGGCAAAGGCATTCCATAGGCAGAATAGAAAATCGCTTTTATTAAAAAAATACTATGAAGATTTTGTGTTTTCCTGTAAATTACACAGAGGCGCAACAAAGGAAAAGGAGCGGACCATTAGCTGTATTAAAATGAGCTTAAAAACATCCCAAAAGATCACGGCTTAAATTTGCAAGATGAAGCTGTAGAGACACTAAAGATGATGTATTTTGAAAGGCTAGTTTTAATAAACCAGGTACTTCAATCATTCACAATTATTAAAAAATAAGAGTTAAACTTCCCAAACTTACATTTCTGGACAATACAGATGTATTTTTGGCAATTGTACACTCGTTCAGTAAAGCACGTTTTCTCACGGACAGAACAGACGATTCACAGATGGCCGTGCCCCTACAGCATTAAAACCAACTCTTACCTTCAGCCCAGCTTCCCATGACTCCCAGAATCGAGGGCATGCTCGCGTACTGCTCGTCTGCTTTTGAAGACTTCGATTTACTAGAAGAACGGGGTGATTCATGCTCCTGCTGCGACACAGCCAAGCTCCTCGGAATCACGTCAGACCCTTGGCCGTACTGGTATCCCACGTGAGGAGATTCAACTTCTGTTTCAATGGGAACTTGCTCCTCGGACTGAGCAATACGGCCAGCGGGCTCGGCAGCCCTGTCCTCCAGTTTGCTCGATTTATAGTGAGGAATGTCAGAAGGTTGCTGCAGTCCCAGGTGCCGGGATTTCTTCATGGAATCCTGCCTTTGCTCGTGTTTGGACAGCTGTTGCTGGGCATTTCTTTGAGAAGTCGGATAGTAGCTGAAATTGCTCCAAGCGTTTCCACCCATCATACACGTCCCTTGATCTGGACTTAAGTGCGAATGCGGGGGGCTGCTTTCTGCCCTCCAGCCAGCGCTGTACAAGCAGGATCGGTCCACGCCATTTGAATTTACATCTTTGTCTGACAGACTGAAGTAGCGATCCTTCTCCTTCTCACTGATGTCCAGCGACGACTTAATGAACGTTTTACACACACTGATAACATCGGTCATCTGCAGATAGCTGGCAGCCGACATGACTTCGATGACATTCTGACCGGTGAGAGACAGTTTGCCCGAATACACAAAATCTAGAATGACTGTAAATGTGTCAGGAGAAAATGCCTGGAAAGTAGCCGTCGTCGGCTGACTCGTCTCCTTCGAGCCCTGCGAAAGGAGCATTTTGAAATAGCCGCTGCTGGCAAACAGCACATTGCGATGTGCTTTAAAGACCTTTCCCTCAACCAGGATGTTGCAGTCACAGAACAAGTCTTGCCTGCGCTGCTCATTCAGTTGCTGCAAGAGGTGAAACTGGTGAGAAGAAATCTCCATTCCAGAAAAGATGAAATGAAGCGTCGCTCTAAAAAATAAAGAGAATAATTAGGCTCTTGACTTCAGCGTCGTGCAACCCAGCCAAAGATGTCAGACCCAATTTTACAGATATCTTTACTTCAATCTATAAATATATTTAAATTACAGTACGCACAACCACGCATTCTTTTTTCCAAGAAGAGGAGAGTGATGAAAAAGCCAAATAAGCCAGTACACGTTATTTGGCAGAGAAGCGTGTGCTACACCTAGGCGCGTCTCCTTCCCAAGGATGCGGGGCAGGATGCGTGCGTCCCGCTGGCAGCTCCACAGCCTTCAGACATTCTCCAACGGGACGAGGAGCCCTCCGGCAGCTGCGGTGGAGGACGGCGTCCGCGCCTCCAGCCGCCGTTACCGCACCGCCCCGGCCCGGCCG